TAATAGATATCCATCTATATAAATATCCATGTAAACACCCTGTGCAATAACCCTGTATAAAAATCCTGCTATAAAAAAAAAAGCTGTCATCTGTGGACGCACTGTATATACTGGATATATCCATGCACCTTTTCTTCCTTTGGCACCTGCTTCTTCTCTTTTGACTATTTGAGCTGATGTAACAAGTACATTTCTCCACTGTGAGATCAATAAAGTCAATCAATAAAGTGCAGCAGTGATTGAATGTAAACAGTGTGGGAGAAAAATATGGTGCAAACCACATTGATATGAAAAATACATATGGTGCAAAAATGAAGTAGAACTTTTTTGACCTGATTTAGAATCGTTTTCAACAGTTCAGCTGTCTGATGGCAGTGGGGAAGAAACTGTTCTGGAATCTGCTAGACATGCAGTGGATGCTGAGGAGCCTCTTTCCAGAGGGCAGCAGGGAGAACAGTCCATGGTGGGGGGGGGTGAGGGGTCATTGATGATGTTACGGGCTCGGGACACACAGCGCTGTGATGAAATGTCTTTAATGGAGGGAAGAGGAGCCCCCGTGATCCTCTCTGCGCTTCTGTGCCCTTTTGACCAGTGTGATGGTGTTTACATTCCAGGTGAGGGTGTCTGTGATGTTCACCCCCAGGAATTTGGTGCTGCTGACCACCTCTACAGCTGAGCTGTTGATGAGCAGTGGAGCGTGGTTAGGACGGTTCTTCCTGAAGTCCACCATGATCTCCTTCATCTTCTCCACCTTCAGGATCAGGCTGTTATCTCTGCACCACCAGCTGCTCCACCTCCTCTCTGTAGTCCAGGTCGTTGTCGTCCCACCACCGTGGTGTCGTCTGCAAACTTCATGATCTGATTGGTGGTGAACCTGGGGATGCAGTCATGTGTCATCAGGGTGAACAGCAGGGGTCTCATTATTGATCATTTTCATTTTTAAATGTAGTATATCAGCAGACAATTTAAATTGTATTTTTCTGTTTGACTGAATCACTTTCAGTTCTAAAATTCTAAATATTATAATGCTCGACGTCTGGATCCTCGAGTAACCAGAGTTATCACATGAAGATTCACATCATGTTAACCCTTTAAAGCCCGATCCAAGAATAAAACAAAGCAGGAAATTGCTTTTTTTTTGGTTTGAAGTCCTTATTTGGCCTCTTAGCAAAATATGTAAAAAGAAAAAACAGAAATACATTTTTGATATTAATAATGTATTACTATGCGATAAGTCTGTGTGTCAGACGCAAAACATTTCAGAAACCGCATGTATCAAATATGATACATTTGGCATTATAGGGGTTAAATTACAGGCAGCAGAGCTCTCAGGTAGGCAGAGGTTTCAACAGTATTAATGTTTACACCAGTAGAAGTATAAATCCTACTATTTAAAACACCTTTGCAGAAGTTAGAGAATCAACTTAAGCTTTTTACTCCAGTAAAAGTGTAAAAGTACCAATTTTAAAGCTACTTAAAGTACAAAATTAAAAGTAATGCAATATTAAAATTTTAAGGCAAGAAGCTTTACTGCGCTACCCTATTAAAAGAACATGTTTAACTTCCTTAGACTTAATTGTCTAAGTTTTAATAACTAATGGTAGCAGTGTCACATTTAACTTTACATCAACATGAAGAACTATTTAATCTGATATATGGTGAACATCAAGTTGGGGTCCAACTACAAAGAAATAAATTGCCTGGATGAAACAAATTATTTTGATGGTTTTCATTTTTTTAAATACCAACAGGCCATCATGAAAATTAGCTTAAATGAAACAAAACTAACAAGTCTATTTTTAGAATATAAAGAGTAGAAAGTAGAGATAATTGCATGAAAATAAGATGAGTAGAAGTAATAAGTTGTCTGAGAAATGATTACTCCAGTAAAGTATAGATAGACAAAACTTCTACTTAGGTAAGGAATGTATTTGTACTTTGTTACTTGACACCTTTGCAGGTAGGTATTAAATCCATCCATAACAAACCTCAGGTAAACAAATGTCCATGCAGCTCTTTGTCTATACAGGCCAGTAGGGGGTGTTGTTCTATCTCATAATATGGATCAATGGCTGCTATTTTAGCAGTACACTGAGCAGCCAGTTTGCCGTACATATCAAGGTGTGTGCATTACCATGTCTCACACAGAGTAAAAGGAAGAAATAAAGTGTTTTTGTTAAATTCCTCAATCATGAAAGACAGGAAACAAAGGAGCTGCTTTAAATTCAGGAAGTAGTGGAGTTGTGCATAGAGCCTATTGGAGCTAGGAAGTATCCTGCTTCCTGTTCCTTCTTAGCACCATTCAGATAGTGTTTACTATAGAGACTACAGACGCTCCTCTGTCGTGTCATTACTGATTTGAGGCTTGAGCCCAGTCTAAATGCAGCAGCTTAGGCAGCTTCCCTCTATGCACAACCTCAATCTGTGTTCAGTTACTCTCGTTTTTTTCAGCAGGATGTGCAGCAAGAAAATTGAGACAGCACAGTTTGACTGAAAGGAAATTTAGTCATACTGAATATTCAGTTTAATAGAAATACAGTTTCAAAGAAAACCCTAAGTTTCAGTTATGTTTTTTATTCAGCTTTACATTATTAGATACAAAAATACTCTCAAACAATACATTTAATTTTAAATTTTGCACATGCAGTTTGACTTTGGGTTAAAATAAATTCCCTTACTGCCTACATTTTTTCATGAACTCCACAGACTAGGGTGGCCATTTCTATAGCACCAAAAAGGAGGACATTGTGCGGCATATCAATAAATTACTACGGTGTACATAAGAATCGGGTAAAGTCACATTTATAGTACAATTCTTAGTAGTTTAAAGATGATGCTGGTGTAGTTGAATAGAACAAAATATTAAAGAGATGTAAAAAAAGAATTGGTTCCCAGCATTTGTATTTATTTAATACATTGTGGTGTTTAAAAAGTGACCATTTTTTGACACGATTAATTTGAGCAGAACTGCTGCAATTGATCATAAAGCAGTTGTTTGGAAAATAAGCTTGAGGCGGAGAGAGAGCTAGAGAATAGGACAATACTGGAATGGCTGGAAAAGAGGAATTCGTGACATGGCTGCAGCCTGTCGAGAGTAAAGATGATTTCACCATGTTATCTATCTATCTATGTATATATATCTATATATATATATAGATATATATACACAAACTTGAGTCATGGAACTCTGCTTACAGCTCCTTATTTCATGTATACTAATAACTTGTGTACATGATAGCTACTTGTTGATGAAATTAAAATTATTTCTAATAGCATTAAAATAGCATTAAATTAGAGCTCCTCATTCCGGTATAAACCCTGTGAACGTTTAATTTAATATGACATATTAAAAAAAATCCCCATCATCATCCAGCAGATGTTCAGTTTCTGCCCAAATATTTTCTTTCTGTTGTGGATTTTTGTAACAGGAATAAACAGAATCATCCATAGTTTGTATGAACTATGTTTGTTCTCCGCTTCCAAACTCATCATCTCTTCATCCATTCCTGCAATAAGAATTTTTTGGTCTGTTGAAGCACCAATAGTCTGCATCCAGTTATTTAATTAATTGCTCTTAATTTTGGGAATATATACGAACTATGCTCTAATTTCTAGTAACCGACCTGTTTTTACTATAATTTAATTTGACAAACCGGGTCCTCTCTACATTCTTTATCCTGTTTGGTGCGATTGCAATTGCGGGTCTTGATCTGGACTGACGGGAGCGGAGCCAAAAAGAGCTCAGTTCCGTATTTTGACGGTGAAGGACGGAGAAGACGTACGTGGACAGAGATGTGCGGAGGAGTAGTGGAGGATGTGGAACAGCTCTAATTGGTTTACATGACAGACAAGTACTCCGCACGACGTACTTGAGCGGAGCGGAGCACTGACGGAGTATGTGGAATCTGTGGGTAAAGGAGGGCAAATACACGTCCGGCTGGATGCGGCGCCGGACGCCGGACAGTGCAATGAAAATCCGGACTGTCCGCCCTAAAGCCGGACATCTGGCCACCCTACCACAGACCCAAAGGTTTCCTATTTGCAAAGGCTTCCTGTCCATAGATCCCAGAGCCTGAGTGGTTTTATTCTGCAGTGGTGCAGCCACTCTGTTATTAAAGACTTCATTCCAGCTGACACCTTACAAAGCAGGAGAAAACAGAGTGAGTAAATACAAGTGAGAGAGAGGGAGGGAGTAAGAAGGGAGGGAGGGAGAAAACAAGAACACATACAGTCATCCATCCAGCTTTTCAAGATCTCTGTTTGAAGTTGCTTAACAAGTCTTACAAACTTCTCTTTGGATCGCAAAAAACGGTTGTCAGGTTCAGTAAATTATTTCATAAACCCAGAATACAGTAACTGTTTACCCTGCCTTTGAATCTTGGATATAGAAAACATGAATAGTTAGATTGAAGTGTTACGTTGGGTTGGATTCGATGCATTTAATGAGATTGCGTATCTTCATTGTCAAACTCTGTATAGCCAGACTGTTTCTTCTTCTTCAAAGTCAGTGTCAGTGCTGCTTCTCTAAGCAAGCTTAGTTTGTTTCATGTTCATTAGCTTTGCTTTAGGTTAGCTTATGTAGAGGCAGGTGAACTCATTGTGTTTCATTCAGGCAGGGATTACTGGTTCTACTGTAGACTGATGCTAATCGTGGCTGGAAGTTAAACCACATTGCAAAAGTAGCTGGTAGAGGTTGCATTTTACTTTATTCTGGCTACTTTCAGTAACATTTCATGGGAAGGGAAATTTGTCTCAGATCCTAGACAGGGAAAACTCTCTTCTGTTATTTTGTGTGTGCTTTGTAGCAAAGTCAGTCCAGAGATTACACTAACTAGGTTTTTAGGCCTGTTGTGCTCCTATATTGTCTTATCAACAAGGATGAATCTTCCAGCAGGCCAAACCCAGTGAGAATGACAGAAAGGGAGCGGTTCTCCGGCTGGAGGACTAACCAGTTTCTGTCTGCCTGGGGTGTGTCCACCGAGCAGCCCTACCCAGCTGACACTCTTCCCTACATGGGCCACTCTGTCAGGTGCAGCACACCTCACACCTTCTCTTCCTCTGCTCACCGAGGTTTTTCCTGAAGAACAGAATGCCTCTGCAGTCCACTCTGTCCGGTAGGAGCTCGGGCTCCAGCCAGGTGGTCAACACCCAGTGGGATGGGAAGTCGTTTGAGCAGCTCCGGCGGGAGTGCCTCCAGAAGGGGGTCCTGTTCGAGGACCCAGACTTCCCTGCCACCGATGCCTCCCTCTTCTTCAGCCAGAGCGTTCCTGTCCAGATTGAATGGAAGAGACCACATGTGAGTACGCTGTTAGTTTCCAGAGGCCGCTGATGGTGTAAAGGTGACTCTAACATCTCAGGTTCTTGTAAATGATGTTGGATCTGTTCAGAGAGAACTCATTTATGGCAGCTATTGAAGAGAACAGAGGAATAACTGACTGGGAGAGGATGTAAGCCATATTAGTGCAGAAATGAAGAGAAAGTTTGGCTTTATGATCATGTTCTGTTTGTTCTGATTGCTGACAAACCTGGTTCATCTTTTTGTATATAGAATGTCTGTATTAAAAAGGTCTGGAGGCAGTTTGCTGCTGATCAGAGGCAATGCCCAGTGCTTTTATATGTTTTATATTTAGATTACAGTCTCTGTACCTTTTTGTTTTTAGCTATGGCTCGTTTTGACCTGCCCCAACACCCCGCAGTAAATGCCATTGCTGTGCATTTTTCGTCTGGGCGTTCCTTCAGAGTAAATGCTTTAGCTGCCATCATGGTGTGTGTGTGTTTTCTGTTAGTGACTGACAGGGATTTCAGACTGATTGATATGTGTGGAATGTGAACACACCTATCAGGAACGCACTGGTGTGTACTTCTTTGAAAATCAACCAACCTGTTTCCTTTCCTGTTTTTTTTTTTTTTGGTCATCTCTACAGGAGATCTGCCAGAACCCAAAGTTCATTGTTGGTGATGCAAACAGGACTGACATCTGCCAGGGACAGCTGGGTGGGTGGTCCTGTTATCTGCGTTTCTTAGACATGTTGCAGACGTGAAATTCATTTTCTAATGATGACTGAGGTGCTTGTTTGTTGCCACAGGGGACTGTTGGCTCCTGGCAGCTATCGCCTCTCTGACCCTTAAAAAAGAAGCTCTGAATCGAGTCGTTCCCCACGACCAAAGCTTTGACCAAGGATACGCCGGCATCTTTCACTTCCAGGTATGCAACTATTTTACACCTCAGGTTCAGACTGATTTCAATTCCAGGAATTAAGAGTTTTTGTATTGTTCTTATAACTAATAAAATTAGTGAAGCTGTTTTGGAGACAAATTCCTATTAGAATAGAGTCCCAAACAACACTCAGGTAAAAGTAACAGTGCTGCAACCTAGTTTTACTTTTATAAAGTACACATCCAAAACATCAAGTACAAAAGTATTGTGTAAAAAGGCTCCTAAAGTACAGAGTTACGGATCTACTTTTAATCACAATATCTGATTTTCTATTTAAAAAATGGTGTCAAGTTACACAAAATATATATTTATACTTTTATTCTAGTGTTTCTGGAATGAGATAAAAAGGAAATAAATGTAATCATAAATTAATGATACAATGGGAATACGAGGGGTGAGAAATATGTCTTAAAGTAAGTCTTTTTGAATAATTTTGGTAAATGATACAGCAGGATAAGTTGATGGAGGATAACGTCAAACCAAAACAGAAATGTGACTCTGGTCCATTTTTGTTTAAAACAAGTTTGTTCTTCACTGAGTGAAATTGCTCATGATGAGCAGAGAGCCAGGAGTTTTACCCAAGTTAAAGTAGTGATACTTCAGCATACTTTTACTAAAGTAACAAGTCTAATGCAACAAAACTATTCCTAAAGGTTCCAAAAAAGTAAAAAAGTTTGAAGACTTTGATGAGAAGCCAAACGTCTTCAAACTTGGAAACAAAGTCCAGTAGATTGTTTTTTTTTTTAAACTTTTTTTGGAAAGACTATGACTTGGATGGCTGAGGATCTTCACCAGCATATTCCTAAAGGTAACTGAGTGAATCTAATTATACTACCAAACTCTGGTGACAAAGACATGCAAGAACCCAAGAAGTGAATAAAGTTAGAGATGAAAGGACATCAGTGTATACTTCTGTAGTAATAAATTCTTTGAGCTGATTGATGGAAAATATATTTTCTAAAAGTAGTGAGACACTCCTCCACAGTTTATTAGAGTCAGGTGATCCGATTTTATCCTCAAATGTGTTAAAACTCTTTTTTTGTAAGGCTGGATTTCTCTCTGGAGCTCTGTGAGTTTCTGTAAATTATATAATGTCAGCAGGTTGTTGGTTCACATAAATTATTTTCCAGCTAAATGCTGCACAGCTAGCTGTATCATAAAGAAGTGGGAGCTGCTGGGTAGGACCTCTCAGCCCGACAGCAGTAGGTCATTTTCAACCACAGAGCTGGTAATCAGCGAGGACCTCAGAACGTCATGGAGTTCTCGGAAGAACCATGCGTGTTGATCAATGTGGACGCAGCATCCTGTGAACAAACTGACTGCTTCAATGCAGTGTCCCTGGCAAACAGCCCTGGTCCTAGTCTGGTTCCAGTGATTATCAGGAGACTGGAACAGACCAAGGATAATGTTCGGTAGAGGAGGGATATTTGCGCTGGCTTCTATTTTTGTAAATGTGTTTGCTTTAGAGTCAATGAGTCGATGCAATCAACTGATTTTCCTTAGATAGAAAACCTTGAATCAATCTGACTGGATGATCTGGTGAACTGGAAAGTGTCTTGAGATGACGTGTTGTGAATTGGAGCTATAGAAATAAACTGAATTGAATTGAATCAGTCCCACTAGAAACAAGGGTTCGCCAAAGGTTCCGAGGTTTGTTGCATATTTGCGACAATAGGCATTAATAGGTTAGACATAAATCATCTTTTTCTATGGCAGGTTGTCTTTCTTACCTGCTCCATAAAATCAACTTATCAACTGTAATTCTATTGTATAGAGTCAAAATTAACTTTATTTGCCAAGCCTCTTCACATTATCATGGAAATAACATTCTGGTTTCTATATTCCTTTCAATACAAATATTTTATAAATAAATATGCGTCTGCATTAGAAAATACATTTAATATTTATTAATATACAGATTTAGTTTTTTTTTAGATCAGGGGAATAAAAGGCAGATTTTTTTTGTGATTTTTCTACATTGTCCTGTTTAGTTCTGGAAACACAACAAATGGCTGGATGTGGTGGTGGACGACAGGCTGCCGACGGTGAGAAATCAGCTCATCATGCTTCACTCTGCCTCCAATGATGAGTTCTGGAGCGCCTTGATGGAAAAAGCCTACGCCAAGTAAGGTCACTGACAGCATCAGATTGGAATAAAGCAATGAAACTGAGTTTTATTGCTTGATACATCCTCTTCTTTCCTGGTTTTGTCAGGATTCATGGCAGCTATGAGTCCCTGAAAGGCGGCAGCACCATGGAGGCCATGGAGGACTTCACTGGTGGAGTTGGAGAGGTGTATGAAACCAAGAAACCTCCAGAAAACCTGTTTGCGATCATGAAAAAGGCCTTAGACAGAGGCTCCATGATGGGATGCTCCATTGATGTAAGAATAATTCTGCCGTCCAGCAATACATGGAAGTCTCCATGTATTGTGGATTCATTAAATTTATCCTTTCATTCAAAAATTCGGATCAGTGTTTCAATTCAAATTGGTCTCAGTTCTTTGGTTTTCTTTGGTCCAGATCACCAGCTCTGCCGAGTCTGAAGCCAAGACCAGCACAGGCCTTGTGAAGGGACACGCCTACTCCATTACAGGCCTGGAAGAGGTAGGACCCCTCAGGAATGAGTCAGAAAAAAGTCAGACCTGTTTGATTTAGGAATAACTGTCAGTAAATTATCACAGGATTGGATGCCATTGGGTTTTAACAATCTTCATATTTATCATTATCTGCCTGCAAAAAAGTAAAAGTTTTTATTGTAATAAGTTTAATTGCACTAGATTTAAGTGGTTAAGAAAAATGATCATCTGTGAGAATAAGATTTTAGCTCTTAAAATAAAATAAATTATCTGATGTGCAGTTAATCATACTTACCTCTTAAAATGAAGGACAAATGGATTAACTGCAAAATTGTTTGACTGATTTCTGGATCAATTTTGCAATGATTTGAAATTTTCAGGTTTTTAAAGACAAAACCATCAGTAATGTATTGAATTATATTTCAGGAAATCTAGGGACAATATTTTCATTTTAAAGCTAACAAAGTGGGGTAATATATATAATCTTTGTTTTCCAGGTTAACTTCAGAGGCCAGAGAATCAAGTTAATCCGAATCAGAAACCCATGGGGTCAGGTGGAGTGGAACGGCAACTGGAGCGACAAGTACTGCAAAAATATTCTCTCTTTGACTTTCAAAATAAAATAAATGCTGATGTCACACGCAGGTGTAGCAGATGGACAGTGGAGTGTATAGATGTCATGTTCTGAGGCCCAGCCTCTAGAACTTTATCACATCTCTTCTTAATCTTTGTCAAACCCATGTCCTGTCTGTGAACTGTCAAATTAAAAGCACCTGTGCTAAAACAGGAGCTTTAAATTAATAAATAAAATAATCTATTTATGCTCAGTACGGTTTAGTAAAAGGCTTTTCTAAAATGACCTTGATGTCTAACCCTTTACTTAAAAGTTTTATCTGATTTTTCTGTAATCGAACCAGAGGAACCAGCAGACCCTCCATTACGCTGTTCAACACTTAGCAACCAGACAGCAGCTTAAACTTAGATCCTGCTTTGAAGGATTCATTCTGCAAGAACTTCTGGAAGAGCTTTATTGATTGAATCTGAAGCTGGATGATCCAAATTAATCCCAAATAAAACTGGGAATAAATCTGGACTTTTGCTTCAAATCAAACTGTTTTCTTCCCTTTTTTTATCATCACTTCAGTGTTTTCTCCGGGGCCTCGGGCCCCCTAGAGGATCCTTCTCTCAGTTTAGAAAAGTTATAGGGTTTTAAAATAAAAAATGAGACCAGCATGAAGGTCTCTCCACATTCCCCATGTCTGCTTGATAAGAATGTTCCCGATCACTCACTGCCTCATCTGTTTCAGTTCTAGAGAGTGGGATTATGTTGACAAAGCAGAGAAATCCCGGATCCTTCACAATTCAAGTGATGATGGAGAATTTTGGTGAGAACTCTGAATTTATTTGTTGGGAATAAAATAATTACATTAATGTTCATATATTTAAATACAGATGATGGATGATGAAACTTTTTCACTTTGGGCAACTTTCCTTTACAAAAATATCTCATGAACTTCATGTGTTCGCAAGTGATTCCAATCTTGAACGTAAGATTTCCATCCTCATAATTGTAAGAATTTCACATGTGATTCCAATTTTCCACATTAAAAAATCCATGGATGTCTTCTACATATGCTGGTGACATGTCCACATGTGATCAAGCATTTTGTTCATGTGATCATTGTTCCTTTTTACTTTTGATCATGTGAAACCTGTGATCACATGTGCACCATATATAAAGGCCACATGGGTTTCACATGAAACTTATGCATCACATGTGAAATTAACATCTGATATAAAATGCCACATGTTATTCTCATTTGAAACACAAGTGATTCACATTTGAGGCACATGTGGAAAACATGGGAATCACATGTGGAAAAACATGAGATCTCCCCAAATATAACTGTGCTTCTACATGTGAATCTGATTTTTTATTTCTTTCACATGTGGTGCATGGGTTCCACATATAATGTTCACATGGGAAACCCATGCATCAGAAGGGAAATTAACATCTGATACACATTTGAAGCACATGTGATTCACATTTGAGGCACATGTTGAAAACATGAGATGTTCCCAAATATAGATGTGCTTCTACATTTGAATCTGATTTTTTTTATTTATTGAACATGTGGCACATGGTTTCCACACGTGGTATTGACATGTGTATTTCTGTGTTGGCCTAATAGCAAAAAACAGTCATGATGTTAGTTGAAGGTTTGATTCCGAGTCAGTATGCTCTTGGGCAAGGCGCCTAACCACCAGAAATCTGTTGATCAGTGAGAATCGATGCTTGATGATGCTTTGATTGGTCCGTTTGGCTGGAAGAGTCTGTCCAGCAGGTGGAAAACAGACGTGTTGATTCACAGATGGATTGTTGTGTTTGATTTTTGTTTTTGAACTCCAGGATGGAGTTTGAAGACTTCAAAAGGAATTTTGACAAGGTGGAGATTTGCAACATGACCCCCGACGCCCTGGATGATAACACAAAACGCCACTGGGAGGTCAACGTCTTTGAGGGCAACTGGATCCGCGGCTCCACCGCTGGAGGCTGCAGGAACTACATCGGTGGGCTGATAATTTATTCAGCACATCACATGAATATTGACTCAGATGCAGCCATCTTTGACCTCAACCCTTTGATCTGCAGACACATTCTGGACCAACCCACAGTTTAGGCTGGAGCTGGAGGATGCTGATGATGATGATGACGTCTGCAGTGTGGTGATTGCTCTAATGCAGAAGAACAGACGGAAGCTAAGGAAAGAAGGCCTGGACCTGGAAACAATTGGCTTTGCTGTGTATGAGGTGAGTAAAATGTTCCCGTGCTGCTGGGTTAGAGGTAAACAGTGAAGCACTCTGATGCATAAGAGCATCATCCTTTTCACCATGAGGAAAAAGCAAAAAAAGAAGAAAAGGAAAAAAAAAGAAAGGATGTCTTTTCTGAGTTATTTTTACAGAGAAATTTTACATTAAAAGCTGATCGCTGGAGTAACTCAGTCATTTATTTTCAGGAGGAAACTAATCCTAAGCCTTCTGGGCAAGTCTTGTTTCCTCCTGGATCTCCTGACATTATCTTCTGCTTTTTGAAAAATGTTCTTCCATCAAATTAAACTCGATGCTGATTCTTAGCTTTGGTTAGAGGAGTAGTGTGTGTTCTTCCTGAAGGAGACACAGCACCATACTGACATCAGAGCATCAGGATCCTTCCTACCCAATAATCCACTCTGTTTGATGGTGTGATCATTTCTCCACAGCCGGGCTGAAGATGATCTGTTAACGTTTATTCTCAAACTCAGAGCCCATGTCTTTCTCTCTCTGGTCATAAAGGCTCCAGAGGATGACGACCAAGTGGGGAAGGATTTTTTCCGCTACCACCCCTCCAAGGCTCGCAGCAGGACGTACATCAACATGCGGGAGGTCTCCGAGCGCTTCACCCTGCCTCCTGGGAAGTACCTGCTGGTCCCCACCACCTTCCAGCCCCACTGCGAGGCCGACTTCCTCATCCGCATCTTCTCAGAGAAAGCAGCCAAAGCCATGTGAGTGTTCAGAGTCCACTGATGAGTCCAGTGAACTTCTACTGTTTACACCTAGTAGAAACATCTGGACTTCTTCTAAACATCATGTTGAGATACAATGACCCTCATGGTGTTGGCCTCATTGTTGCTGTTAATGCAGCTTTAAAAAACTTCATGATGACACTTGTTTTGTTTAACAGAGAGATGGGGACCAACGTGGACGCAGACCTTCCAGAGGTAATTAAACCCCAGACAATAACAGCTGTTTAGTGGCTCTGCTGGTACTGAGGCTGAATGTCTTCCTGCAGCCCCCGATGCCCAGCCCTCCAGAGGAGGAGAGCGATGAGGAGAAAGGCCTGAGGAGGCTGTTTGAGCAGCTGGCTGGTTCGGTAAGAAAAACCCTTTCACAGCGTAGAGCAACACCAGCTGGGATCACATTCTAAGCAGCTTCGCTTTCTTCTACATAACAACAGGACCAGGCTATCTCTGTGATGGAGCTGCAGCAGATGCTGAATGGTGTTCTCAGTCGACGTAAGTAGAAGATAAATGGCAAAATCAAGCATTTAAGCCTCATTTCTGAGACCTCGAACAAAGCTAGAGAGAGAGAATACGATTCAGATGAAAACAGATACATCACAAGCTGGAATAGATGATGAAATAATGAGTGATAGTTATTAAATAAGGCTTAATAAGTTCAGGACCATCAGCTGAGGCTTCCTGACTGAGGGACTGTAATATATATCACATTAAATAAGAATCACACTGGAACAAAGCAGATGGTCACTTCATAAGGGCTTAGTTACTTTTATTTGCTAACCAATGATAAAAAAGATCAGAATAGTAAAGAAAATACAATATACTCAATGAACAGCAACATTGAAACACCAATTTATCCATAATTTGTAAAAGTGTGACCTGAAGAAGAGAAAAAAATAAACAAAGCCACAAAACTGCTTAGAGATGCTAAATCAGGAAGCTTTTAGTTTTTCACTGGTTTTATGTTTTCTCCTAAAAGTTTAAGAGCAGCTCTACTGATCCTGCAGCTGGGATGGTGCTAGAATCCATCAGCCCGTCTAGGATTTGCTGAAGTTTGGTCATTTTTCTGTCCCCAGGAAAAGAGATCCAGTTTGAAGGGCTGAGCCTCACCACCTGCCACAGCATCATGAACCTGATGGACGTATCCTTCAACCGTTTATATGGGAAAATCCTCCTCTGTCTTAAGGCTTCAAAAACACATTACTTAAAATATTTGGATGATAGTAGAACTTTATCCACTATAACCTCTGATTTCAAACCATTTAGTGAAGCAAACACAAGTAAAATACTGTTTCCTTATAACAACAGAAAGATACAGCAGCTGTAGCAGAAAAATGTTTCAATAAAGAAGGGATAAAGCCAGGGTTACTTCAGGATTTTTAAAGCTTTGAGGTTCTGCTAAAGGACTGAAATCGGTTAATATCTCACCTGCAGCAGATAATGTTGATGTTGTCCTGATTTACTATAAATCTGTTAACATTGGAACATGACTTGTAAACAGAAAAAAAAATACAATCCTGAATAATCACTTTATGCAGTTTCTTTATCAGAAAAAGGTTTTAAAAGCAACTTTGTGGTTTTCTCACATATTTTTTGTTTTTCCAAATTTTCAATTTGGAAAAAGCGGTAAATTGAGAGCTTTGCCTTTTCGCTCAGCTCTCTCTTCACCACAACAGACCGGTGCAGCGTCCGCATTATTGCAGGAGCCGCTCCGATCCGTCTATCGATCTCCCGCTCCATTCTTCCCTCACTCGTGAACAGGACCCCAAGATACTTGAACTCCTCCACTTGAGGCAGGGACTCTCCTCCAACCTGAAGGGGACAAGCCACCTTTTTCCGGTCGAGAACAATGGCCTCAGACTTGGAGGAGCTGATTCTCATCCCGGCCACTTCACACTCGGCTGCGAACCACCCCAGCGCACGCTATAGGTCTTGGCAGGAGGGAGCCAGCAGAACTACGTCATCCGCAAAAAGCAGGGACGAGATCCGCTGTTCCCCAAACCAGACCCCCTCCGGTCCTTGGCTGCGCCTAGAATTCCTATCCATAAAAGTTATGAACAGGACCGGTGAAAGAGGGCAGCCCTGTCGGAGTCCAACATGCACCGGAAACAGAGAACGGATGGCCCCTAATAAAGGGCCCCCAACTCCATACTCCTGGAGCACCCCCCACAGGGCAGCACGAGGGATGCTTGACAATGCTTGACAGCATCCCTTACTATCGGTGTCCACCACCGGGTTCGGGGATTGCCACCACAACAGGCACCGCAAACCTTACGGCCACAGCTATGGGCAGCCGCATCGACAATAGAGGCAGAGAACACAGCCCATTCGGACTCCATGTCTCCGACCTCCCTCGGAACCTAAGAGAAGCTCTCCCGGAGGTGGGAGTTGTACACGTCCCTGACCGAGGGTTCCACCAGACGTTCCCAGCATACCCTCACTACTCGTTTGGGCCTGCCGAGTCTTTCAGGCTTCCTCCTCTTCCAGCGTATCTAGCTCACCACCAGGTGGTGGTCGGTGGACAGCTCCGCCCCTCTCTTCACCCAAGTGTCCAAGACATGCGGCCGAAGATCAGAAGATACGACTACAAAGTCGATCATCGACGTTCGGCCTAGGGTGTCCTGGTGCCAGGTGCACCGATGGACATCCTTATGCCTGAACATGGTGTTCATTATGGACAATCCGTGACTTGCACAGAAGTCCAATAATGAGACACCACTCGGGTTCAGAGCTGGGGGCCCGTTCCTCCCGATCACGCCCCTCCAGGTGTCACTGTCGTTTCCCACATGGGCGTTGAAGTCTCCCAGTAGAATGATGGAATCCCCGGGAGGGGCGCTTTCTAACACTCTCCCCGAGGATGCTAAGAAGGCCTGGTACTCCGTACTGCTGTTCGGCCCATAGGCCGAAACAACTGTCAGAGTCCTCCCTTCAACCCGAAGGCGAAGGGATGCGACCCTCTCATCTACCGGGGTGAACTCCAACACGAGATGGCTGAGCTGGGGGGAGACAAGCAGCCCCACCCCCGCCCTCCGCCTCACCCCGCGGGTCACTCCAGAGTAGAAGAGAGACCAGCCTCTCTCAAGGAGCTGGGTTCCAGAGCCCTGACTGTGCGTAGAGGCGAGCCCAACTATTTCTAGCCCGTATCACTCCACCTCCCGCACAAGCTCGGGCTCCTTCCCCGCCAGTAAGGTGACATTCCACGTCCCCAGAGCCAATTTAAGCGCCCGCGGATCAGGTCGCCGAGGTCTCCGCCTCTGGCTGCCGCCCAATCCTCTATGCACCGGTCCCTCATGGCTCCCCCTGCAGGTGGTGAGCCCACTGGGGGATGGCCTCGCGTCGCTCCTTCGGGCTGGGCCCGGCCGGGTCCCGCGAGGAAGAGCCCGACCACCAGGCGCTCGCCGACGAACCCCAACCCAAGGCCTGGCTCCAGGGTGGGGTCCCCGCTCCGCCGTACCGGGCGATGTCACGTGCCTCGCTGTAGTCCTCATCATAAGGGTTTTTGAACCGCTCTTCGTCTGACCTGTCACCCAGAGCCTGTTTGCCTTGGGAGACCCTACCAGGGGCATTTAGCCCCCGACAACATAGCCTCTGGGATCACCCAGGCACTGAAACTCCTCCACCACGTTAAGGTGGCGGTTCAAGGAGGTTTTAGGTTGTAATAAACTTTATTTTAGGTTGTAATAAACTTTATTTTAGGTTGTAATAAACTTTATTTTTAGACTGTGATGTTTTATGATGGTAGGATGTCAGTTTTTGCGCTGACCTTTCTCAGACTGGTCATTGACTTCATGCAATCCTTTTGGTTTGTCACAGTATTTCTTCTAAAACAGAGATGGTATGGGGCCATGTGTGATCATCTAAATATATATCTCATAGTTGCAGTAATGGTACAGCAGATTAATGACTTTCTTTTAAGCCGGCTGGGTCTGAAAGAAAATGAGTTGCCTTTTAGTCCCTTTAAAACAGGAGTTTTGAGTCATAATATATAAATATGATTATGAACATCTTTTTCAAAGATTTCCCTTAACAGAATAATACAGGTGGACAACACGGGCAAGATCGAGTTCCAAGAGTTTAAGGTGTTCTGGGATAAAATGAAGAAATGGATTGTAAGAACCTCATAATGGGTTGAAGTGGTTTATCATCAGGGGTGGCGGTGGAAGGAGTCTTGTTGTGGTTGTGAAGGTTATTTTAGACCAGCTTGTTGTTGCAGATGCTCTTCCTGTCCTTTGACACGGATCGCTCAGGGAAGATGTCTTCTTATGAGCTTCGTATCGCTTTGAACGCTGCTGGTGAGTCGACTTATCTGCATTCTTTATACCTTCGTTGACTTTTGACTTTACATTTCTAAATCATTGACATGCATTTTAAAAATATTTCACATTACTTTCCTGTTCAAACAACATGTTGCAGGTGATGCTATAGCTCCTGATTAGGACCGTAGTGAATTTAATACAAAGACCAGTGTGTAGATATTGTCTTCATTAGTACTGAAATGTAAAATAACGTTTCATATTTTCTTTGTGTTAAAGATAACAGTTTATCTTGAAGTTATATTTGATGTAAGGTTTATTCCATGTTGGGACAGTGTGAGGCAGGGCAGTGATACACAGAAACACTATGAGAGAGGACTGAGAACACATCCATGGGGGACACCAAGGATTAGCAGAAAGGGTGACCAATCCTGAGATGTTGGGGTTTATGATACATGATCTGTATAGTTGTGCATAGTTGTGCAGAGTTGTGCAGGCCAGTCAGGGGTCTCCTTCCACCAAGTCTTTGTTGTCACTGTGACCAAACTGTAGGATTCAGAGATGCAGTGATGCAGAAACCAAGGCCTATATCAATATGGGATGCCAATATTGTAGTTAAGGGTATAGGGCAGGATTTTCCTGTATTTTTGAAAAGACCCGCCCTCTCCACTTACAAAGAAAATACACATGCACACCCCGTACCTGTTCCTGAGAGGGAATGCCTAGTAAATGCGTGCGAGAGCGTGCACAAGAGCGTGCACTGTTTAAAAGTTGCTGTTTGCATCGCTCATTAAAGCTTACCTTCCAGAAGAAGATTTGCAATTTTTCCACTATGTCAGGATCACCACCAGTAATTGAAAATATGGAGGAGCATGTAGGACATCCTTATGTAAACATATCACCAGAATGATTAAAAATCAGGAGGACCACTTATTAAGATGATCCACCTGGAAAAAGAAGATTCTCTCCTATACCTTGAATGCCGATATTTAGAAATGTCATACATCCCATGTTTCCTTACCTTTTGGACACAATAAAAAACCAACATTGCTGATATTGCTTCTGTGGCCCAATTAAGCATCTTCAATCCTTCCCTGCATCACTTTAACATCAGATTACTAAACAAACAGCATACGACAGTTCCTCTCCCACTCCTGCAACAAAAACAGCAACTAGATGGAAACAAGTTCTTAATATCAGCCCCGTTAAACTTATCAGATCGATACTGATACGCTTAAAAATGAACAATATTGACCAATATGGATATTATAAGTCTGATTGCATCCCTGGTAGAAATGTTTGCTGGTAGCTACAGACTGTATTATCCACAGTAAAGAGTCAGAGTCTGGTTCTCAGGGCGCAGGTCCATTAAAATACAGCCTGGCTCACATTTCTAAGCCTGTTGCAGTTTTAGCTTTGTTAAAAAAGGGAAAGTATTGAGTAAGAGCTCACTGCATTGTTTTCACTAAAAAGATGGAAGAAAAAAGAAAAGAGAGTATTCCTTCCTTCTGTGACTCCTTTCCTCCTTCCTTATCTACTTCCTTGGTATCTCCCTTGTGTCTGTCTGTCCTCCCTAATTTTACCTTCTTTTTTTGCTCTTCATTGTCTTTTCTTCCTTCTGTTTTTCTTTTTGTAGCTTTCCCTATTCTGAATTCCTATTTACTTCCTTTTTGTGCCCTTACTTCCTCACCTCCTTGTATCCTGCCTTCAGTCTTTCTTTGTTCAGTAATTTTCTGTCTGATAAGGCACTTGTTTGAACTTCAGTTTTTTCACATTTCTCTGTAAATATTTTAGATTTCAATACAGAAATAAAAAGCTGCAAACTGCTAAACCCCAAGTCTGGAAAACTCTGGAATTTTTACAGGAAAAATGTATTGGAACCCTGTAATACCCTGTAAAGATTGATGCAGACATGGGTCTGAATCTAAGCTCTGACTGTCTGCCATGCATGCAGGTATGCATCTGAACAACCAGCTGCTGCAGCTGATTGGTTTGAGGTTTGCAGATGACAGCTATGACATTGACTTTGATGACTACCTCACCTGCATTGTCCGTCTGGAGAACATGTTCAGTACGTTACCACCATTAAAACGCCTTAAAATGAATTTATTTAAAAGGTTTTATTTCAGAGGTATTCCTGCTGTGTGGTTTTATCGCTGAACTCTGTCTGTTATGTAGGAACTTTCCAGGCCCTGGATAAGTTTAACAGGGGCAGAGTACAAATGAACATGATGCAGGTAAACAGAACAAACTCAGAACTCTTGTTCTTTATTCCAACCTGGTAAAACATTGAAGTATTTTAATAATATCTGAAACTGACAGATTTTCATGCATCTTGCGACTCTTAATTCTAACATTAATTCCAGATTAGATTAAACACCATATCATGTTGATTTAAAATTTTTTTCTTTTTTAGTTCCTTTTGTTGTCGATGAACGTCTGAGAACCAGATGGAAGCAGACGGAGACGGTGCTGGAGGAGGAGCTGGAAGCAGCAACACATCTCTCTATTTGACTTTTTCCTTCTTTAACTGCTTAACCTGTCATTTAATGACTAAATGTGCACCAACGGATTTAAGAGGTTCATCTTTGAATTTTGCTGCTTTTTCTTCACTCGTTACCTGAATGCAAGGAAATTGTGAATAAAAACATTTAAACATTATAAACATCTGCTTCCGTTGTGCTAAAAGTTAGAAGCTGTCATATCTTTATATGTTTCTATGTTCTTGCTTAGATTTTAATGCTTTCTTTTGTCATCGTTTTTGTTTCAGAAAACATTTATGCAGAGAGAAATTTCTCTTGATATTATTGAAAGCAAACAACAGGTTTTAAAAAAAGGAATTTTGGGGAAGATTAGTTTAAAAAATGAATGTTTTACAGATTTCCCCCTCTACCTTTCTGGGTGGAACAGAACAGTATGGTTCTGCTGGAGGTTTTTTCCTGTTAAAAGGGAGTTTTTCCTCTTTACTGTCGCTACAAGCATGCTTAGAGTGAGGGATTGCCTTCGAGTCAATCGATGCAATCAACTGATTTTCCTTAGATAGAAAACTTTAAATCAATCTGACTGGATGATCTGGTTTAATCGTTTCTATAAAGCATGTTGAGATTACATGTTGTGAATCGGTGCTATATTAATAAACTGAATTGAATTGAACAGCATTGGTCTCAATATAATGAGATACTATCCCATTATAATGAAATTATTTATCTTAACAGAGTGGTGGAGACAGGCTTCTATAGGTTCTATTACCTGTATCTATTATAAACAGATTTCACCCAAGCTGTGAGCCCTGTGATACTCCATAAAACTGTAAAACTAATGTGTAACATCAGTAAAATTTTAGACCTCTTCTGTACATTATTATTTCTTATCTAATTCACTGGAAAGCAGGGATTTTTTTTTTTTTATGGAAAAGTTGTTAACAAAATAATCTAGCCCTGGTTTTAGATGAAGCTCCAGATATGGGACTTTGTTTTAATTATTTTTTAATCCACCAGATTATATGTGACTAACATCTGAGGATTATGCAAGGTCAACCTTAATTTATGATCCCAACCATTGTCCCATTAAGTACAATGAATTTGTGGTGGTTAGCAAGGAAAATGAGAGTGTGTTCACTGGAGATGAAACAAAGAAATCACCATTAATATGTTCTTCAAGCTTTGGACCAATCAAAATAATACAGCATGCTCTGTGTTGGAGTCTGGAGGTTTATAGGAGACGAGTTTCACTACATGGTTCCTATTCTGAGACATTTTTTCTTTACCTGAGTTCATTGTCTATAACATGTGGGTGAGTTTTACCATAGATGTCAGTAATCCCTATGGTGGGGGCAATGGGGGGTTGTGGAGTTTGTTTCTACCAATCCAACTATGGTATTCTGTGCATGTAAACATAGCTAACAATTATTATTTGTCCGTGGATATCTGCTAATTCAATTTAATTTATATTTTTTCTATAGTGCCAATTCACAAAAGATGTCATCTGAAGGAACTTTACAGAGACCATTCAACCAGATCATACTGTCAGTTTGGTGCAAAGTTTTCCAAGGAAAACCAGCTACAGAAAAGATTTCCTCTGAACAATCCCTGGGAGCTGCAGCCATTTAAAGACATGGACTTAAACTTTGATCCAGGAGGTCTAATGTTACCAGGGTTGTTCTTCACTAGTCTGAGGTCGATATTAAATGTTTCTGGATGCTTTAGTTCTAAACAGTTTCCACCTTTTAGGAGATAATGTGAATTATTGTTGCTGAATAGAAGGTTGATTTGCAGTTCTAATATATTTCAGCAAAGACATTAACCCATAGATTAATCTGTCCTGTTCTGGAAGCCACTTTAGTCGAATCAGCATGACTTTGGTTCTGGTTCCATCATCATAGCAGATCACCATCCCAGCAGATCCATTCTCTATCACTGCATGAAAAGTGGGATTTTCGTCAATATGCGGCACTGTAGATTGTCGTGGAAGTTCAGGTTAGCGGCAGTTTACGGTAATTTGCAGGCATCGCCGAAAACTCCCATAAATTGTCAGAAATTGACGTGGGCTTTCTTAGGCAGTGTTCCCCCCATGCCTCCCACCCATGGAATTCTAGGGGAGGCTTTAACATGTAAATGAAAATGCTGTGAGCTATACAAATGCAAATCAGGGTTGCAGGGGGAGTTTTACCCCAAGTGACATTTTTCTAAAAGGTAAGAAAATCTCTGATACAAAGAGATCAGGCTCAGTACAGACTCTTACATTTTAGCTTGAATTGATTTAATTAAAGTATAGAGACCAAAACAGATCTTTAGCTGACAGAGCAATACATTTAGAGCAGTAATTCTTAAAAAAAAATTTGCATTTAAGAGAAAAAATAAAATGTCTGTCAATATGCTTAATTCACAATTACTTAAGTGGAAAAGTTTCAAGAAATGAGTCTGAGATGATTCACTTTATAACATGGCGCATTATCCTGCTGGAAGTAGCCATCAGAAGATTGGTACACTGTGGTCATAAGGACATAAGGTCAGCAACAATGCTGAGGTAGGCTGCCTCATTTATTTGATGCTTAATTGGTGTTAAGTGGCCCAAAGTGTGGCAATAAATATCCCCCAAATAGATGGTACAAATAGATCAGGCTCAGTATGACCTAATTATAGACTCTTACATTTTAGCTTGAATTGATTTATTTAATTAAAGTACGCTAGATTACTGTGTATGCCATTAGCAATGGCAAATGTTATGTAAAAAAATACACAAAATAATTTATTTCAAAAATTAGTTTTAATCAGAATCAGTTGGTAAAATGTGAATCAGAATCAGCAAGGTAAAATGTGCATTCCTTGCACAGTGCTCCTGGGGATTTTTAAAGCTTGGGAAATCTTTTTGTTTCCAAATCCAGCTTTAAACTTCTCCACAACAGTGTCTCGGACCTGTCTGATGTGTTCCTTGTTCTTCATGATGCTCTCTGCACTTTAAACAGACCTCTGAGGCGATCACAGCGCAGGTGCATTTATCGGGAGACTTGATTACACACAGGTGGATTCTATTTAGTATCATTTAGGTCGACATTGGATCATTCAGAGATCCTCACTGTACTTCTGGGGAGAGTTTGCTGCACTGAAAGTAAAAGGGGCCGATTCATTTTGAACACCCCACTCTTCAGTTTTTTATTTGTTAAAAAAGTTAAAAATATCCAATATATTTAATTACACTTCATGATTGGGTAAAACTAGTTGTTGATTCTTCACTAAAAAATGTTTATGTTCGATGCCTGAAATGTGGCAAGAGTTTGAGATTTTCAAGAGAGCAGATTATTTTTGCAGGGCAAACTGTAACTGGGCTGATATCTAAGGAGAGCTCTGACAGGGTTTCACTTGCCAATAACGTACATTTATAACATAAGTTTTAGTGGTTGTAGAAGTAATAGAAAACACAGATCTTGGAACTGGAATTCTAGCAGCACTCCTACATAATTCTCTACATTTTCTCTCCGTTGTCCTTTCTTTCACAGTAAATGGTATCGGCATCTCAGATATGTTAGATTTGTTCACCAAGCTTTCCTGTCTGACCCTTCAAAACAATCTACCATCAACAGCATTGTGTTGTAGAAGCTTTTATGCAAGAGCCTTTTTTTGGGAGTTTTTACAGCACATTTTGGAGTTTTTACGGCACTAGTGTCTCGTTTTTTTGGCAGTAGGCTGGCAGGAAAGGGGGTATGAGAGAGGGAGAGACATGCGGCCAAGGATTCGAACCCGGGTCATCCATGTCGAGGACTAAGGAATCTTTCTGTACATGGGTTTTGTGCGCTAAATACTGGGCAACCAAAGCACGCCCTTATGCAGCAGACTTTTAAACAATTTTCCCAACATTTATGGAGAACAGCAAAGTTCCTCTTTTGTAGTTTTTATTATTTTCACCTATAAACATAGAAAAAGTCAGCAGCCTTTTGAAATGTTCTGTAGTATGGTATAAATCAAGATTCTCCAGAACATATCTCCAAAGCCTGCTATTTTCTGTAACACAAGTTGTGCTACCCACAGTAATTGCTGATAAAAAGTCTAAAGACTGTTTTAGAATTTCAATATTTCTTTATGCTATTACTAGTTTTAAATCTGTGGTAAACCATTGTTTTACAGCAACTCCTCTCTCACATATACAATATTGCATCTTCTAATATGTTTCCTTAAAGACTGTTTAGGACAGGAAGCTACAAAAAGTTAAATGACCATAAACTCAATGTAAACCCCTAGCTATTATTATTTTATGTTTAATTTATTTATTTGTTTATTTATTTATATGTTTGTTTCCCTTGTTTTATTTTTATTTATTTTTTACATTATATGTCTCATTTTTTTTAAGTTATAATGTCACCAACTGCTGTGTATCTTTGCTTGATGTTTGAATTACTCTGTATTGTTACAGGGAATTGCCAATAAAGCAAAAAAAAAAACAAAAACATGATAGACGCAGCTGTTCTCGCAAGTCCTTCCGTATAACAATGACCTCGTATGTGATTGGAGGAGCTATACTCAGAAGAACTTTATCTCCAGTTCCTTTGTTTGGTTTGGCGGAAGCTGCCAAGCATTCAGAAAAGAAAGAGAGTAAGACTTTATTTGGTGACTATTTTTCAGGTGCATTGATAGATGTGTTGTGTCCATACGCAGTGCATCCCATCGCATAGCGCTGATTCATTGTTTTTTTTTTTTTTACAGCTGCTGGAATCGAGGCAGAGTGTGCTAGCTCATGAGGAAGTGGAACTCTGGAAGTCCGCCACCGTCGACCTCATGTCTGACGAAGAAGATGGCGTCGTTGGCGGATGGATTGTACGGCCGCAGTCATTTCGTAGGCCGGATCTCTCTGAACTCTGTGTTAAGCTGCAGTCCCGGTTAGAAACGATGCCGAAGTACAAGGCCACGCACAGGTTGTGGTACGAAAGTTTCTGGAGACGAAGAAGAAGAAGAAGCGGCGAGGCGTTTGGTGCATGGCGCGTGTTTTGAAGCTGCTCTGCTTGTGGAGAAATGTCCTGGGCCGTGAGTAGTGAGGAAACAGGAAGCGATTCTTGTGGGATGGAAGAGGGAAATAGTGACAATGAAGGTTGGAAGATAGCAGCATCAAAAAATGAGAAAAAGCGGAAAAAACAGAGATCAGTTAAAGGGGAATCTAGTTCAGAACAATCC